ATTCATATATATTCATATTAATTATTGTTTATAATGTCAGCTACTATTTTAATTGATAATGTCACTCATGTAAATATGGTAAATCGACGCAATGATGTCACTCTTGCATATCCTTATATCAACCCATCTTATGGTGACCTTATCTTAACCGCCCTCAACCTCCCAAAAATCTTATCATCTTACATATAGCCACACCCCCAATAGTCCAAAACCTCGATCTCAAATCTTGGTGATTGTTGTGGTTGAAATCCAAACCAATTGTTGCTGAAATCCGAAGTCTCATCTCCCGTCTCCTAATCCAAACCAATTGTTGTTGAAACCCCAATCAATTGTGGTTGAATTGTAACCAAAGTCTCGTCTCCTGTCTCCAAACCCAAGTTCTCCCCCGTACATCAACTTCGATTGCATCCCGTCGACTCGATTTCTCATTCTGCTCGTAATAAATATTTCAAGTGTGGTGAATCGCAAAACAACAAAAACCACTAGACGCCGAACAACGATCAACCCAATATTCTGTGAATCCCCATTATTATTTACAGCTCTTCACCACATTCCATAATACAAGTGTGAACAACTTTTTTAAAAGTTGGACACCTACCGTTGAACTTTACACGCTCTTTTTGACTTATACAAACGGCTTTCTATGCTCATATTAATCCAATACGTACATGTAAATAACCGTGAATGAATCAACGAGCTAATTATATCTCATTATGTTCATTTAGATGAGACTTTATAAGCATATTTTACAAATATATATATATATGGATGTTAAGGTGATGCAAAAATTTACATGGACCACCACGTATTTTTGAAATAACGGCCGATCCTGGCTTATGTTGGTCAGGAGCTGTTTCTTAAAAAATTCAGCTGAAAATATTGCACCTCAAGTTGACGTAGAGCGCTCGAACATTTCATTTTAGTAATGAATTCATCGTTCCTCTTAGCTGCTCTAATTTTCGAACTTTTTTGTAAGGCTTTCTGAGGAATCAGGTAGAAATTATTCAACCAATCGTGAAAAAACCCGCGAACAATTTCGATGCAACTGAACCCCAGTTCGACCGGCGCGAGCTATTTGAACTTTTCTGTACAGAAGTAAACACTTATTGCCAACAAGCGTTTCTCCTTGTTGTTCTTTTTTTTTTTGACTTTTCTCTCCGATTTTGGTGTCCAAGGCAGAAACGATTCACATTTGTTTAAAAAAACAATATCTGCAAAATTTAAGCTAAAAATATTGCAACTGAAGCTAGCATACAGAGCTGGCTTTTTGGATTACTTCTTTAAATAGCGCGTGCTGAGTAATTATAAACAGCCCATTTTTACACTCCATAAGCAGTAGAACTAATGGCATGTTACTTTCTTTAAACGGACGCTTTCCAGAATATACTAATTCAAATAATAATCAAAGTTAGGAAATTAGTCAGCCGTTGAACGACATTAAAATACTGTATGTGGAAATCGTTTGAGTGCGATCTACACGTGCAATCATTTTGGCTGAAATTTTTTAACAAGTGCAAATCATTTCTGCCTTCTACACAAAAAATCTGAGAGGGAAATCCAAAAAAAAAATCGAACGACAAGGAGAAACGCTCGATGGCAATAAGTGCTTACGACTTTATCGACGAGTTCGAGCAATTCGCACAACTTGGGATATAGTTCAGTTACTATGAAGTTTTGATCATGATCAGGAAATAACCCATTCAAGTTAGATCTGAAGATGCTGGCTGCCAAACGATTGCTATTGAGTCCCAAAATGACCTATCCGTGAAACTGTTCTCTCGTTTTTGATAGCTGCGCTGCACGCCGTATGGTATTTTCTTGTTGCATTTACATATGAATCAAATCAATCTTTCTTAACTAAGGAATCAGAAAAGTGTTTGTAGCGTTCTGCAACGTCTACAAATTGCTCAACTTTTTAATGTATTGCACTAAGTTGAATAAATACTATGTGCAACCCCATCTGTGCATGTATGTAACCCATTAAAGCTACACAATGAAGGTATTCGTACCGTTTTTAGATATTTACATTAGAAATATGTACCATCAGTTTAGACCAAACCATACATAAACAAACATAAACATGATGAAGATTTTAGAATGGATGTCGATTAGAAATTTAATAAAAGGATGCATTTTTCACTCAAACAATCTGAAAAAGATAATTTCTCCGCGAAGAAGATTCTTGAGGAAAATGCGCAAATGGGAATATTATGGATACCATGCATGTGTATGCCTTTCGATCGATTTCACTTGTCACATAAATGCATGCTATTTTTGGCGTCCCCAGTAATGTTCTGCACAAAGTTTTTACCCACGAATGTCTTAATCTCATATATA